TTTTAAGAGAGTCGGGAACAGGTGGCAGGTGCAGAGGGAGAGAGAGAGATAATCTATATATTTTTTTAAGATTTTATTTATTTATTCATGAGAGACACAGAGAGAGGCAGAGACAGACAGGGGGAGAAGCAGACTCCCTGAGGTTAGCCTGATGTGAGACTCAATCCCAGGACGCCGGGATCATGACCTGAGCCAAAGGCAGACACTCAACCACTGAGTCACCCAGGCGTCCCAGGAGAGACAACCTAAAGCAGGCTCCACACTCAGCACAGAGCCCAACACGGGACTAGATCTTACGACCCTGAGATTATGACCTGAGCCAAAATCAAGAGTCAGACACTTAACTGAGCCACCCAGGCACTCCCAGAAAGGTTATTTTACAAACAAAACTACCTTGGTCCTCAATAACAGATAGAGGTGCAATACTCTCCTCATGTCTTTACCTAACCATTAACTTTTTAAGTAAATTGGGTCAGTAGATCTTTAGATTTCTGTATTTCTCTATTTGTTTCCTGTGGTATCAATTAACTTGGTTCTCTATCACTTGACTTCCTAATTGATTCTATTCAGGCTCAACATTTCGGGCAAGAGTATTTAATGGATAATGCTCTGTGATTTCTGTTATAAAACTTGAGCAACTATATATTATCTAGATGTACTATTTTTAGTAATACCATGATTAATCAGTAGGTTCAGGTGATGATAGTTAAATCTCTTCTTTGTAAATTCCCCATCAACCTTTTACCTAATAGTTTCATCCACTGATTACTGTCACCTAATTCATTTCATTAGGGATTGAAAAGTAGTGATTTTCTAATTCTACCATCCTTTCTACATTTATTAGATGGAATTCTGGGGGGAAAAGTTCCCTTATCAAATTAGTATATTTAGTTACCATGAAACACAGATAATACAGGAAAGGTAAGGTAAATGCTTATTTCTTTTCTTTTGACTAACAATTTTCAAATCAAAAATATTCAATGAGTTAGCAAACCCTTCTACTCCACTCTATCCTGTATTTGTTATTCTCTCTCTCTCTCTCTCTCTCTCTCTCTCTCTCTCTCTCACATTATGAACTGATGCATTTAAGATACTTGTATTTCAGAGGTGCCTGGATGGCTCAGTCAGTTAAGTGGCTGCTTTCAGCTCAGGTCCTGATACCAGGATCCTAGGATGGAGCCCTGCATTGGGCTCCCTGCTCAGCATGGAATCCATTTTTCCCTCTCCCCCTGCCCCTCCCCACCACCCTACCCCTCTGGCTCATGCTCTCTTTCCCTCAAATAAATAAATAATATCTAAAAAAAAAAAAAAAGATACTTGTATTTCAAGCAATTGCATTTATCATTATTTGCTACCTTTTGCTCTTCTTATCCTGAAGGACTCAGAATAATACACCAAAGACCAGCACATTATATTTGATGCTAAATAGTTTTTCAGTATTTTCTGAAAAAAAGAAAAAACTAAATTTCACTTATAGCATTATTTCTACAATAAAAGACATTGAAAATTTCAAACAACCAACTACAAATCATAACCATAATACGACTTTCCATGTGTCAGAAACTGTACTAAATTCTTTGAATGTAAATCCCATTTAATCTACACAACTACCAAACTGTATGATGGGTATTATTTTTATTCCTATTTTACAGGTAAAGAAAATGAAGTTTGGGGACCTTAAGTCTCTAAGTCCAAAAATCCAGCTGGTAAATGCTAGAACAAGGATTTGTAGCCATGTCTAACTCTGAAGTCCATGATCTTAATGAATATCTTTACTATCTGACAGACCATTCTGTTAAACAATGGCTCTCAACAAGAGTATACCACCTTCCTGAGGGGTATTTATAAACAAATCTGAATGTGTGATTGACAACATATGACTCTTTAAAGGAGGCTCTATATATAGGAATAAACAAGATCCTTTTTAAAAATAACTTTCAGGAAAAAAAATAACTTTTAAGGGCAGAGGGAGGCACTACAAGATCTACAAGCAACCATTTAAGGGTAATACATTCACTTTCTTGACTACAGTGAAGGTTCATAGGTCTCTCTATACACGTCAAAACATCAAAGTGCAGCACTGTTGTTTCCCAATTATGTCTCAAGATAACTATTTTTTAATAAAATAAAATAAATTTCTGGAGCCTATAAAGTAAAACAACCGTATAGGTATTCTCTCTAAACAGTCCCACAAAAAGACTGAGATAAAGACTGAGGTTTGTAGGAAGTAAGCAAGTGACTGATTCATAATTTCCTTCGCAAAAGTGGTACAGCACTGCAGAAATTAAGTGGCAAAAATACTAACCTCTCAAAATTCAGAAGAGAGGTATCTGCTTTGCTGACAGCCCCCTTTACTAATTCAGATCAATAGTGCGCACTGAGGTAGCGCTTGGTAAGAAACCACAGTCATATCACACACACACACACATCTCAACCCAGAAATCATCAATTGGCCACTCATACTCCCATATTATATACCACTAGCATGTTGGGTTTGGTCCTATTTTTGAAAACTCTTATTAATTAGTCACCAATATTTGAAAATTTAGAGATTTCTCCCCCCAAAATATTTTACTTTTCTTAAAAGGTCTGGTAACCCTTGGGTCCATGTTCCTAAGCTGGTAAGAAGACAAACATTCTGCTTAGCCACAGGCCTTAGGACTCAGTGTCCATATTGTCTTGTACCCGGCAGCTTGATCCGTTTATGTTACCATGCCTGGACTCCAAGGCTTTTGAGTCTGTAGTCCTTGCCCTAAGGTTACAAAGATTTTCCCCAGTGTTTTGTTTTGGTACTATTTATGGGCTCATCCCCACATTAAAAAAAAAAAAAAAAAAAAACAATAACAACAACAACAACAAAAAACCTGTCCTTAATTAAAGGTACAATTCTAACTCTGCAGGGTAGGTAGTTTTCCTAACTCAGCAGGCAGTGGCAACAAATATGAAACCAGACATAGCCATATCCATCCCTGAGGCACCAGCCAGACAAGAATAAAAACAAATCCTGGAAACTAGTTCTTGGCACACTAGTTTCAACAAATTCAGTGAAGAAATTTTTTTTAAGATTTTATTTATTTATTCATCCAAGACAGAGGCGGAGACATAGGAAGAGAGAGAAGCAGGCTCCATGCAGGGAGTCGAATGTGGGACTCAATCCCAGGACTCCATGATCACGCCCTAAACTGAAGGCAGATGCTCAACCACTGAGCCACCTAGGCATCCCCAAGTGAAGAAATTTCTAACAGATATTTTTATTATTTAATGAATCTCTCTCCTGGAGACCTTCCCCAGCACCCTCCAATGTGTGTGCACGCGCGCACATGCGCGCGTGTGCGCACACAGACACACACACACACAGTCTCAGCTCCCTCCCTAACCTTCTCCTCCCCTATTCTACTAGATCACTGAAATGGTAACTGGAGTATCTATTATTCTAGCTCCAGTTTAAGACAAAAGAAAATTCCTTGGGGTATCTGGGTGGCTCAGTGGTTAAGCATCTGCCTTTGGCTCAGGTAGTGATCCCAGGGTCTCGGGCTCCCTGCATGGAGCCTGCTTCTCCCTCTGCTTGTGTCTCTGCCTCTCTCTCTGTGTCTCTCATGAATAAATAAAATCTTTAAAAAAAAAAAGAATAACCATATAAATTATTACAAGTCAAAAGAGATCAGAAACCTACATTCCTTCAATGAATTAACAGCCAATATACATTTTTTTTTAATCATTATATATCAGGGGATCCCTGGGTGGCTCAGTGGTTTAGCGCCACCTTCAGCCCAGGGCGTGATCCTGGAGATCCAGGATCGAGTCCCACGTCGGGCTCCCTGCATGGAGCCTGCTTCTCCCTCTGCCTGTGTCTCTGCCTCTCTGCCTCTCTCTCTCTCTCTCTCTCTCTCTCTCTCTCTCTGTGTGTGTCTCTAATGAATAAATAAATAAATTCTTAAAAAAAGATCATTCTATATCAGAAACATTGATATTAAGTTACGATGAAGACAATAAAAGATAAATAAAAACTCAAACATAATAGCAAACAAAATTATAAAACACTCGGGAAAAAGCTTAATAAAAGGTGCTAATAATAAAGTCATGTTATCCTGGAGCAGGAGATACCATAGGGGCTTATGAACTGTCCAACCACTAACTTAAAGAGTGGAGCTGGTGTCTCCCATGATACCCTCTGAACCTCACCCCCATGATAGCTTAGCTGGCACAAAAGAGAAATCATGGCCTCTCTCTCCAGTGATACTGTGGATCAGATCAAGACCTGCATTTCCCTGGCTTAGCTCTGAATCAAGGAATCAGCTCAAAACTATTCACATATCTCAGAGTTCATATAGCAAACAGAGCCAATAAGCAGAAAATTGGGAATTACCACTTTTTTAGGAATCAGATTAAGACATCACATAGAGAAAACTTATCCTTTCAGAAAATTATCTCAAGGAACTTTTAAAGAGATTTTTGCAGGGAATCTTACTAAGTGTATGTGTGGAAAGAGATAAATCCATAGGCCTTTTATATTATTATTATTACTTAATAGAACCAAAAGAAAGAATGCTTTGGAATGTGTTTACATTATTAAGAAATTCTCAATTAATTCATTTCTTAATATTTCAGAATTTGTGGTTGTTTGACTATAGTTTGGTTTCAGGATTATCTTTCCACTCTCTGGACAAAAGTACTTTCCTAAGAAAATTAATAGTGTAAATAAATGGTTTGAAGCACCACAGAAGCATCTGTTTACATTCAGATAATTAATATGCTAAGCATTCTTATCTATTAAATTAAAGCAGGTCACCTAAGGACTTTTCTAGATAATACTTCATTAGCCTAATTATAATGAGTATATATAGTTGAAACAATAAAATGGACATCTGTTTTAAAATATTCTTCAATTTAAGCCTTTTACTAAATCAAACTAGCTTTCACACATTAGTTTCAATTACTGAGGTTTTATATGGCCAAAAAAAACCTTCATTAAAATAGAAAATAAAAATTTCTGTTCTTACCTTTGAAGTTCTCCATTCCCAACCATCACCTATCTGCTGTGAATGTTTAATGAATTCTGCACAAAAACGCTGGAACGCTTTTTCTCCAAAGAACTCATCTTCTTCCATATTAAATGATAACTGCAATATAAAAACTAAGTATAAGCATCAGCTGTAGAATGAATGCTAAAAGGAATTCTGCTAAATCACTTACTTCTTTAAACAAACCAAAATTTGGGACATAGAATGGAAAATATCCTCAGAGCCATTCCAAAAAAGCACTGTTTCCATCATTCTCACTCTATCCCCATTTTTTAATCAGAAAGAAAATGTGATCAACATGAAAACTTAAAACCTAGATTTATAACAAATACACATCTACAGTTCAAAAAGTTAAATATATCCATAAATTTAGTTTCCAGAGCTTAATCTTATCTCACTTCTTCTAAGCTAATGCTTCCAAACAATCTCCTCAGAGCATCCTTCTCTACTTTCTACCTTACTTAGCTTTTATATAGATAGTATGGCAGTGCTTAGTAGAGCTGAGCTGTTCTTCACACATTTTTAGAGTTCAACTCACTAACAATTGATGTTCTAAAGTCTGAAAGTTTTGTTTTTCAAGGTGTAAGGTTATGATCACCTAAGTAATTACCTACTCTATCAAAATCCATAAATGTAACAAATCAAGCAATAACCACATGTGTTAATATATAAATCCAAAACATGAACCACTATTTATAAGAAGAGAATTTAGAACTAGAAGGAAACTGATAGATTATGTAGTTCAAGACCCTTAATGGGAAAAGTTAAACCAAGTGAATTCCCACATTCTCCTCATTGGTGATAAGCACCATCAGGAAAACTAGCACTTGTTGATCGCTTACTTTGTCAAGCACCCCGCTAAACACTTTACATATCCATTTAATCTTCACACAACCCAAAGACAGTTGTTATCTCCATTTCCCAAATGAATAAGAAAAAAGTAATCTGCTCAAGAAATGCAAATAAGAAAGGATTCAAATGCCTGTTTGGTTCCTCAGCCAATGATTTGTCTATACTAGTTGATTTTCAGTCCAGTGTTCTTTCCAATTACTGAAATTTAGTAAGACTTATACAGAAATGTGTTTTTTCACCAATAAACAAATACTGAATATTTACACTAGGTTCTTTGCAGGTGAAGGTTATACAATTTTTTTAAAAAATTATAAATTTATATATATATATAGTCCTTGCCTTATAAGAGCTCACATTGTAATGAAGGGACATAAGCAATAAAAGTCATTACAGTAGAAACTCTCTTAACCAACCCCCATTCAACCAACATGCCAGGTTAACTGACATAATATCCATTCCCTTGGTAAACATTGATGCCTACAACATTCTGATCATGAAGTACCTCTGCTCCCATCAGTTTAGTTTAAGTTCAAAACCACATCTGTATATTATAAATACATACTTTAATTAAATGCTATACAAACCAAACCAATAAAATACAAGTAAAAAAGAAAAACTGTTATTTCTATGACTTAATGCCTTGGAAAGACTTTATAAAGGTAAGTCTCTATAAGAAAAACAAACTATTATTGAAGTAGGCATGGACAATGCAACTGAAAAGAATGGTGGGGGTGAAAAAACATACAAACCTAGGATTCCATGCTCAGATTACTACACAAACGGCTTAAGAAATCTAGAGAAACGGAAAATCTAGAAAACGCATTCTGCACTCAGTGTATTCATGAAGGAACAATGAATTCCATTCAAGTACCCATCTCTACAAAAATCCCTTGACCATACATGAGACAACTGACAAATGTATTTCCATTCTGAGTCGAAATAAAATGTTTCATGTATACATGAATTTTTTTTAACTCTTGCTTTAATCAACTGTTTCAATTAATTGCTCAACTCGCAATCCTGACAGCATTGGAAAACAGGACTTCTATTTAAAGTATATACAAATGATGGAGTCCCTTACAAAGAGGGGATGGTGTGGGAGGGTGTGTGGGGTGGGCGTGAAGATGAATCTTTAAGGTATATAAGAGTTTTTGTAGCACAGATTGTCAGTGGGTGAAGCACAAGGGTTAGAACAGTGGTCCAAGCAGGGAGGATGGTATGAACAAAGGCAAGTTAGGGTGAAGAGAATTCTAAGTCCGATCTCACAAACATGATGCAGAAAATGTGAAGGTGATGGTAGAGATAGTCCAGTCACATTCAAGTTAAACTTGTCTGCCCTCTATTGGAGCAGAATGGCAGAGGAAAGGCTTCAAGGGTAAAGATTGAAAAGTTTATAAACTTCTTGAAGGGAGACTTATGTGCCTGCCACTCAAGAGTTTGGACTGGAAGGCTGTGATTACCTTTAGCAATAGTCAGCTCCCCAGGGACAAGAACCCGCAGGGAGCTGAACTGAACACATGCAAAGTTCAGGTTTTGCTGGGTTGATTCAACGGAAGGAAGGATAAGGGGAGGAGAAGGAATAAAATATGTTCATGAGAAAAGCTCAGAGTTCCAGATGAGGTACGAAAGGAAAGATATCAAGAGAAGGTTGAAGTGGCTGGGAAAACATGGTGGTATCAAAGAATATTAGATATCCACAACAGCTAAGAACAATTGTAGCAAAAGGAAAGAAAGAAGACCAAGAAGACACTGAGACTTTAGAACTTTAGGAGGTCTTAGCAAGTATGTAAAGTAACTTACAGAAAAAGGTCACTGCAGCTCAGGAAGTTTAGAAAACTATGAGGCTTGTGTTTGCTGTTTTCCACGTGGATGCTGAAGTCACTTAGAATTATCTGGAGAGTTGGTGGGGGTAGAGAGCTCTTTAATGAAGACGGAAGATCAAATGAGAGATTTGTAAATGACAAGGGACAAATGGTAGAAGATGGAAGAACACAGAGATGGTAAGTGATACACTATATATAATGTTGAATCCATCAAGAAGAATGGATTATTAGTGATATGAATGGATTATTAGTGAATAATAAACTAACAGAAGTGGTCCTGATGAGCCAAAACACAGTCTTGGATTCCTTCTCAAGATGGTGCTAAAAGCAGCCACTACCAGTGAATAGGAAAAGTAGGTGAGAAAAAAACCCAGCTCACTATATCTGGTAGAGCTGAATTTCATATGATAAGAAATTCCTCAAAAGATCTTCAAAGGAGTCCCAAAGGAGCAGGGATAATTACACCAAAGCCAGAGAAGCAGTGGCCTAAAACTGGCTCTGGGGAAGTGGGCTACCAGCAATCTCCATACCCTAAAATTTGCAGGGTGGAGGAAGGAGCAGCTTCCACTCAAAGAGTTTCAGTTTTTATTTGCTGTTTTTTGTTTCAAAGCCAAGTTTCCTTTAAAACTAGTTAGTGGAGCACAGACCTGTGAAGATGTTAACACCCTGTGAGATATAAGTGTGGAAACTGTGTGGAAACTGATCCATACTATATCTCCGCACCCCCCACCCAATCCTGGGGATTCATATGTAGATTGTGATGGGGAAACCATTAATTCAGGGTTTCCTGACTTTTGACCATAAAATTCTTTTTCTGAAAGCACTTCACTTACTCCACAGAATGTAGTAAAGACAATAATGGGTTAAGGATTTAGATAAGTTTGTTTACTAGGGATGTGTGCTCCTGAGCTCACAATGGAAAATCTGAGAGGGTAGGAAAACAGTGGGAGAACAGATTTGGGAAAAGAAAGCGCCAAGTACAGGAATATAAGTATGTAAGAGACAATGACTCAGGGAGTCATCAAACGTTTCAGGTATGTGAAAGAGGTCTCCGGGTTATACACCAAATCCTGGTTAAGGTGCTTCAGTGCAGACACAAGTTGAGAAAGTAACATCTAAGAAAACACTAAAAGGAAGAACAGAAGCTAACTCAACAAAGGAGGAAGGCAAAGGAATAGAATGTACACAAATCTGAATATAAGGGAAGGTCCAGTAATTAAAGAACTCTTGCTTGACTGAAACACAGAGGTAGAGGAAGGGTACTGGGAGAGCTCCTGCTGATGAGGACAAGAGGGCCTGCTAGCCTGAGGCCTCAGAAAGGTTTTGACAGTGGGAGTAAACAGATCAGATTTGCATTCTGGTTTCCAGTGGAGACTACAGGTCTTGCCTGACTAGATGAACATCCAAGAAAAGTCTCTTGCCACAATCCAGGAAAGACAAAATGAAGCCAAAAAGAGCCAAAGTTTGGAAATAGGGTAGAAGAGGGAGAGATTCAAAAGACATTTTGGTAGTGTACTCATTACAACTGGTGGATCTTGGTATGTGAGGATCTGTGAGAGAAAAGATTCAGGAAAGATTCCCCACTCTTTGCCGTAGGTGGTGGTACACTGAGCAAGAACAGGTTTGGGGAGAGATGGATTTAAATTAATCACACTGACTTTGAGTTTGAAATGCCTGTGGAATAACCATGTGAAGAGAATCTAGCAGTCATTTTGAGATGGATCTGGAACTCAGAAAGAAAAAGAAATCGGGGCCGGAAATATTGATTCTAAATCAACATCATATAGATAACAGAATACATTTGATCATTCAGGGAAAGGATACAGAAATTAAACAGGAAGACCAAAATGGAGCAGTCAGAAAATTAGTTTTTCTACCTTTATAATGACCCTGACATAAATTGAGAGATATTAAATCAAATTGAGAGAAATTGAATTTAATTCATAAAAAAAAATACTAATACATCTTAGCATATTTTATCAATTCCAAACAAACCCTTACTTAACAACAAAATTGAACTAAAGTAAAAACATTTCATCCCCTGAGCCCCCCGGTTACTTGAGGTTTACTGAACTATTCAAAATGTTAGTCAAAACATAAAATTTCACTCAATAGCCATAGTTTATCTAATTAACAGCACTGTGCCACTAGCAAGATGACAGCACATCAAAGCACTAATTAATATTTGGTTGAATACTTATAAAATTATCTAAGGACTGAGCTTTGCTGAAGGATGTTACATATAATAATACAAACACTTATGGCTTGATTACAAAATTAGGAACTCTATTATATTAAAATGATATCCATCTCAGTTTGAATCATCGTAATATGCCATAATGAAATATCACTGAATAATTATTGTCTCTTTGCTCAAATAAGAATATTTCAACTCATTAAAAATGAAAATATAATACAATCGACATTTTCGTATGTACTTTTCAATATGTGACACAATATATAACACTCCTTGGTCCTCTACCAAATTCACAGACTAGTAGAGGCAGAAATTAGAATATTAAAACTTCCTACTATGAGATGGCTAAAATTATGGTCAAAAATGGAAATAACCACAACGGTAGTTTAGTTATCAAAAATGGCAAGAATTTATTTTGCAAATCTAAAACCCTTAGACATATTATGAACAGCTTCTGTTTCCAGATTTATGCTCTCTCAAATAAATAAAATCTTAAAAAAATAAAATAAAAACTAGAGTTTAGCTCTAAGACTAGACTGTATGAAGCTTATACTGCTGCTACTATTTAAAAAAAAAACAAAACAAAACAAAACAGTAAATTCTAACACTATAGTCACTGTTCAAAATACCCTTTTTTGTTAAAAACAATTTTTTTTCACTACCATTCTCCACTTTTTGTATGTGCTTTTTAATCTAATGTGTGGGGAACTAATTTTTTGTGTTTATTTAATTTTGTTTTATTTTATCTTATTTTATGTCTGAAACATTTCTTTTGATGAACCAAAAATCAATGTACATCAGAATCACAGCGAGACTAAAACACTTACAGAAATATAAATTTCCCCAGAAGATCATTTACCGGAAAAAATGTGATTACCACAGAATACACTATGAATACCTTTAAACATTAAAGATAATTTTTAACTAATAAAAGTAGGCAACTTCCTCTGTATTTGTCCCTCCCTGTAACAATTCCACATTATTATTATAAATTTACATTTAGTCTCTTTCCTAAAAAAAAAAAAAAAAAGAAAAGAAAAGAAAAACATGCAATTACTAGCTAAGGAGGTAAACTGAACCCAATATCTTTATAAGAATTTGGCTTATATTCATTTAGATATCACTTACCTAGTAGGGCCCTTGGACAGTGGTCCTCAAATTTCAGAGACCAAAGAAGCAGCCAGGGTACAAATTCAAATGTGGAATCTAAGGCCTAGGCCAGAGAGATTACCTGATTCTGAAGTCCCCCAAATAAACATGTATAATTAGCACCAGAGATACTTTTCAGGAAGAACCACGCTAGTAAAGTGCGACAAAAAATGGATTGTTTTGATAGGGCTAGTAAGTGACCTGATTTCAAGGCATTTGACAGCCTGGATGGGCACAGCAGGGATAGATGGACTGAGCAATCTAATTAATAGCACAGGAAAGCAGCAAAAGGGAGAAAGTTTGGTTCAGTCTTGACAGCAACTAACCAGTAAGCTTGGTACTCCCTCCTTGCCTTGCCAGTGAAATATATATCCCAAGTAAAGTTTAAATGAGATACAACATTACACCTGGACTGAAACTAAAGAATGTTAATTGGTAGCTGGATGCTTGCTGTGGCCTCTGCAGCAGGAGATCCAGGTAGGAAGACTGTAAGTCATCTCACTCTACCACATTCTATATTTCCTTTTTAAAAAAAAAAAAACCTACCCTCAGGAGCTCCATCTACTACTGACTTCCAAGCCCACTGCTAACCCTCCTTCAAGGCAGTTGTCTCATGTTTGTGGCCAGCAGTGGAAGGCGACGTCAAGTAGAGCACTGTATACTACAAGGTAAGGTCAGCAATAGGAGGCTGTGGGAACAGCACAACCCTCAAGAGTACAGTCTCACCACTGCCACTTTCCCTGAAAAAACTCAAAAAACTATAAACCATTTCAAATCACACAGACACACTCCCCTTGTTATAGTCACAGGATTGAAAAACAACAGCAAAGGAAGACCTCTTCTGAGAACAGAAAGATCTACCATTCATAAATTTGGTTGAATCTTTCAACCTATTCTCCTACCTCACACGTAGATGGAAAGTCCATCAGCACCTAGAGGAAGTGAGAGCGATGCAGAGCACTTGCTCACTCTGACAAGCGTGAACAGTACCATTCCTATACAAGTCCCTCTTCTGTTGAGGTAAGAAAATCAAAAACGTCAATAACAGTGTAGGACCAAGATGATGCTCTTGAGCCATAGGCAAGAACACCACCACATGAAGGGAGAGAGAAAGCTTCCTTCTATAGTGGCCTTACGTTGGGAATCAGAAGAAAAACTTGGAAATTATCAACTTTACATTCCAAATTGAAAAAGACAGAGGGAAAAAAATTAAAAAAAGAAAGAGAGGGAAAGGAAAAACAAAGCCTCTAAAAGCAAGAAATGAGGTGGGAAACAACAGCTGAGAGCAAAAAAGAAACTGAATAAGAAAAAGTTGGAAGGGAATTCAAATATACAATAAGAGCAAAGATTTAAATTCTATATGAGAGGCAATAAAGAAAAGCTAGAAAAAAAATCTAATTAGTATTTTAGCATATACGTGTGAGATGCTCTCCAAACACAGAAGAAAAAGGATCAAGATGAAAACAAAGCATATTGATTGATAGAAGGACAAAGAATACAAATGCAATCTACAAGTAACTGGCATTTCTGAACTGGAATCATAAGCAAACATACCACTGAAAAATTATTCCTGAGCTGGGAGTGGGGGAGATCAAACATATTTACTCTTACAAATTGAGAGGATTCACTTTGTTTCTGAAAAAAACTGTTGAAAAAAACAAAATGTTATGCCTAAAGGTAGCCTAGTGGAATATCTTAATTAAAACAGAAAAAGAAAAAACAAAGATACAGACAGAAAAAAAGAGTTTACGTACAAAGGAACAAAAATTAGGGTAGCCTCAGCCATCTCCTTCACAGCAAGGAACACCAGAAGTCAACAGAGCAATGTCTAAACACCTGAGAATCTCTGATTATCAGTTTGTGTCTTAGCACCTATAACAGAGCTACATTACATAAAAGTTATAATGAATAAAAGAAAAATTAAATATTTTGTGAATTTATTTTATATATCTCTACCTCTCAATAGTACATTTCTTCAATTCAACATTCAAGCCTATTCACCAATTGGTCTTTTCCCATCCAAACAACGGATTTATACGGCTTAGTCTTTCTGATACCAGTGTCATTATTTTTATAATATTACCATATTTTTATATGAAACAAGATTTCTCTGCAAGCACGTAAGAGAAACTATTCCACAACTGGTGATGATTTCAGCTGATCCATCAATTTTCTTTTTACTTCTGATTTTTGTGTGTGGTGGGGAGGGGCAGTTTAAGATGTATTTATTTAAGACAGAGAGACAGCACAAGCAGAAGGGACAGACCGGAGAGAGAGAATCTCAAGCAGATTCAAGCAGGCCTGACACGGGCCTCAACCCCAGGACCCTGAGATCATGACCTGAGCCAAAACCAAGAGCAGGATGCTTACCTTGAGGGGCTGTGCCACCCAGATGCCCCCTCTTGTTGCTTATGAATGGGACTTGAAGAACTAACTCTAGTCTACATGTATGCTAATGAGGCCAGAACCAGGAACTAATGGTGTATGAGTTTGGCCAAAGTCATTCAACAAACAAGAAGAGACCAAAAAAAGCAGTACTGTATCAGAAGCTACAGACTCAGTACTACTCTGAAAATAGATAATAGAGCAATGTGTTTTTAAAATATACTACCAAGTGCCATTTAAAAATTTGCAGTTGGACACTTTTCAATGAAACAAACATTCCCTTTTTCTTCTAACAAAGTCTTCATTAAAAACTAGATTAATGTCCTTTCCTATTTCCACAAGCTTTTACTCATTCACTTGGCACCTATAATATCCTAGCATATTGTTGTATGTGTCCTCATAGAAAGGAGTGTCAAATGAAAGTTTCCTAGGAAAATCAGAGACTAAGAGTCTGGAAGACTTGAATTCAGTTCTTCAATATGGTATGTGAATAAGGACTTACCAAGTGGAGACAAAGCCATGCCAAAAGATGGAAAAACTCAACATAGGGCCTGAACAAAATTTGCTAAGTTTTGGGGCACCTGGGTGGCTCAGTGGGCTAGGCGCCTGCCTTCAGTTCAAGTCATGATCCCAGGGCCCCAAGATCAAGTCCCACTTCAGCCTCCCTACTCAGCAGGGCATCTGCTTCTGCCTCTGCCCCTCCCCCTGCCTGTGTGTGTTTGTGTTTTCTCTCTCTCTCTCTCAAGTAGATAAATGAAATCTTTAAAAAAAAAAAAAGTTTGCTAAGTTTTAAAAATAAAATGGCAATACTTGTGCATAAGCTGGGTAGTAAAGTACAGGCATATATGGTTCAATGATTCCCAACATTAGGAGGGACCATTCTCAAAGGGCATATCTGGAAATGAGTGAGATCATAGTGGGCCCTTACAAAAAGGAGAGGTTGTAATTGCTACTGCACTTCAGTGCTCAGGGACTGGGTACAACGAGCATCTTACAATGTATGAGGCAGCCCTATACACATGCGAGTTGAGCTCCCCTTAAGAAACGCTGGAAAGTAGGCTGAACCTTAACAAAGTCTAGAAAACTGAACCATAGTGTAAGAAACACTAGCGTATCTTTGAAATCTGAGATCACAATCTGCATTTGACTCAATAAATATTTACTTCTAAGAAAGCTGTGTTTTTCCTGAGAAGTGGTATGCTTCCTTCTTTCCTTTGGCCACCATGAAGCTGAGAAATTCATCTATGTGGAGGTTGGCAAGTTGAAGGAAAGACGTCTACTGATGACCCTAAAACTCTAAAGAATTCCAGTTAAAGCAGTGGGCAGTAAGAAACCATTGCAGGTTCCTGAGCTAGTGTAGAGGTGATTTTGAAAGTTTTCTCCAAAGGCTATTACGTGACGGTAATACGAAATACCTCTAACCTCAAAGCTAAACTCATAGGAAGTTATCTTCCTGGGTTCTGTAAACCTGTGAGATGAGCACTTCCGGGCCTGAGGTACTTAGAGGTGCCTCTGGTTTTGCAGTTTTCAGCAACCTCTCCCTGACCCGGATGCTTCTAGGCAGCGTTGATTCTCCATTCTCCTACTTTCTAATAGTTTCATACCTAAGTGGGCTTGGCCCCTGAAGACATTTGTTTTCAGCACGTAATCACTAAATAATCTCTAAGGCACTTTGTTGTTATGGTTCCTGACTATATTTATTATTCAAACACTGCCTGACATTTTTCCTAAAGTGTTCTCTTTCTCAGAAATTTATAAGCATTAGGAACCGCTATCAAGCTATAATTTGTCACAAAACATTATGCCCAACTTGATTGTCTCACGATGTAGCAGTGTCTCCGTTAATATTAAATAAAGGGGGAAAGGAGTGGCCAAGGGAGAAGGTAAGGAGAAATAATCTCCTAACAGTCTCTCCATATCCAAATGAATCCAGTGTAGAACTAGGAGGAATTGTTTCCACTAACTTCCTCAATCAAAACACCAACAACGATTTTTGATCCTTGTAATTACAATGCCTTAACTTGAATTTCTCAAGGGCTCAACGCTGCTTTTTTTGATCAAATTTTCATTTTGTAAATGTTTCCTTCTGTCCGTATTGGGACTCTTCCGAGGCAACAAGGGAAGGATTCTACTTGGGGTCCCACAATGCTGCCCAGTCCTACAGTGGGCCTGTTTCCCAATTCTGAGAAGTACGGACTTAAGCTTTTGCCCCCTGGAGACTGAGGCCACTGTGCAATCATAACTTTTTAAGTTATAAACATGATTCGCACAAAGCCAGCCTGTGGCAGAGATTTACTGGACTCATGTTGAAGGAGCGAGCTGAATGGGGTCAAAATCTTAAAAATCAAAAATAAATAAATAAAATTAAAATGTTGGCAATAGGGCAATGAAACCACAATCTTCGGGGGTATTTTTTTTTTCCTCTCCCAGTCAGGAATAATTTGCATTTCCAGTTTAAAAATAAGTAAGTGCTGGGCCTGAGCCCTGACCAACACAAAGTCGAGCAAGGGCACAGTGCCCTAGATGACGGATTCATCCGCAGGTGGGCCTCTCAGGCAGGCAGGGCTCCCTTCTCAACTATCCTGCCGCTTTTCCTCGATGTTTGTAAGCTTTGCCATCGCAGATGTTCGCGCCTCTAAATGAGTCGACTACGCCCCAATCCGTGATTTCAGACGCTACGCGTGGAGAGGTTATTCGGGAGACGCACGGCTGCCGGCTGTGAATGCCAGCCAGCCATCCCTCCCAGATTCTCACGGAGTCCGAAACCCCTCCAAGTTGAGCGGGCCTGGGCGTCGGGGTCACCGCGGGTCACCGAGCAGCCTTTGTTCCCGGGTCCCCGCGGGCGCCGGGGCCCGGTCAGCGCGACCCCGCCGCCCCGGCAGCCCGCTCCGGGGCCCCGCCTCCGGGTCTTTGTTCGGGGCTGGCTGCCGGCCGCCCCCGCGCCGCCCTCGGCGGCGGGAGGACCGTGCGGCGGGCGACGGGGGCGACGGGGGCCGCGCGAGTACTCACCCCGCTCCGCTCGGCCCCTGACCCCGCCGCCGGCCTAGCGCAGGCGGGGCCGCGGGCTGGGGGAGGGGAGCCGGGGCGGTGCCCAGGGCTCTACCAGCGGCCGTCCGGCCAGCGGGCCCGGGCGGGGGGGCGACGGGCGGGCTCCCGGAGGCCACGGACGCCTCAGCACAGGACGGGAGCGAACGCGCCGACGGCCCCCAGCGGGCAGGCCCGGCCCTCCCTCCGCCACAGCCGCCGCGGCGACCGACGCGGAGCATGCGCACCAGCGCCTCCCGCGCCCCCTGGGGCCTGGCTCGCGCGGGGGAGGGGCTGACGTCGCGGGCCGCGCGCGCAGGACTCGGGCCAGGGGGCGTGGCCTCGCGGCAGCCCCGGCCCCCGCGAGCCGAGGCCCCGCCCCCCAGCCCCGCGCCGCCGGAAGCGAGCCGTGGCCGCGCGCCCCGCGAGCACGAGGGCGGCCGCCCGTGCAGGTGCGGCGGGCGGGCGGCTGCGGCGTCGCCACCTGTCCTTCCAACAAATAGCCACATACCTGGAAAACCAGTGAGTGACTGCTGGAGACGGGGCGGAGCGAGAACCTTCTCCGAGGTTGGAGTCCGAGCCGGCCGGCGTCCGTGCACGCGCTGAAACTCCTGTAAGCGCCTCAGCCACCAGTCGCAAACACGGCTCCCTCCTTTGACCTAAGGACCAGGTAGACGGTAGCAGTTCGAGAGTTCCAGTAGTACCCTCTGGGGCACGTACCTCAGGAAAAAAAGAAAGAAAGAAAAAACAGCAGAATTAAAATGG